GCTGCTGGGCACAGCCGCGCCGCGCTGGGGACAAACGCATCCTCCCGCCTCGGGTCCGGTACCGGAGCGGTGACCATGCTGCACCCCTCTGCCCTGCCTGACCTCCCCCGGGGCCCAGGCACGGGGCCTCGCAGCGGCTGTGCCCTCGGCATGAGGGACACTGCTCCCCTGACAGCTGGGCTGGATTTGTCTAAAGTTAAGAAAACCAGCAGGATTTTTTAGTACGCTAAAGCTTGTCCACACACAGTCTTTAGCAGCCTCCCCGTGCTATCGTTAAGCAGTGTGGGTGAGGTTTGGGGGCAGAGTACAGCTCTGCTCCAGTACGAGAAGAGACGGGCCAAAAGTGGGTTTGTATCAGTCGCTCCTGTACTGAAACAAAGCAGGGGCCGGATAACCCGGCTGCTTCTGGGATGATTTTGTTCTCTGAGGTGTTTTTGTCGAAGGGCCCTTTGCCCTGGCCTGTTGCTGTGGGACCCGAGGCCGGGGACAGGATTCCCTCTGCTGACGCTGCTGCCTGCTGAACGGCTGCTCCGTTCGTGTTGGTCCTGGCTCGAGAGGTTGCTGCTGCAGGGTCAGCAGAGCAGCGCAGGCAGCCTGCAGCAACGCGTGACGCCGTAACGCCCTAGGGTCTATATTCACTGACACAACTTCCGTGTCAGATCCCAGAGCTCATACGGGATCAACTTACCATCAACTAGTTCTTAAGTGTTGAGTTTTCTTTAGGTCTTATACATATGTTAAGAAGTTAATGCACTTTCCCTTGTATAAAACCAGTGGAATACATAATCCTTTCTTTGGCCCTTGGATTTCTTCCCTTCTATGCTGTAAATACGGACTGTATGATGAAACACTATGAAATTTGTGGTGCAATACATTTTGGATCAAAACCCTAATCTTGATTTCTTTCTCGTTGTAGTTCTGGTTTTCTCCCCTGGGATGCAATAGTTCGTTAAAACGGGGAGATTTTAAAGCATGAAACCCCCCCCGCCCTCCGCCCAGGGTAGGAGGGGGGCGTCAGATGTGGAGTTACGGCCCCTGTTGCTCACGGGGAGCTCGGAGCATTTGGGCAGAGTGGACACTTAGCTCGGAGTTGTGCGTTGCTGGCCTCCTTCTGAACGAGGTGTTAGACTTCAGCACAAATAAATGACTCGGGTAATCCGAGCGCTTTACTCCCGCACGGGGGAGGGGGGAGGCCCGTTTCTGTGTCACCCGCACCCCTCCACGCACGGAGCGTGCCCCCCTGCGGCCTGCAGGAAGGGCGATGGGAGGGTGGAAACACCCCCACTACAGCTGACGGCGCGAAAGGAGGCGTTTGCTGCGCAGGGGTCGTTCCAAGACAGCCCCGTGGGCACGAACGAGCGCGGCGGTGCGAGAGCTTTGCCGCCCGCAGCACGCGGACGAACGCGGAGCAGAGCC